TATGGTTAGTTGGGGAATTTGATGAAACTGTCACTTCTTGAAACTGATCCCTTTCGTATTTTTTCATTCTCCTTTCGCACATGGAGCACTCGGTGGACCAGCGACTTTGGACGTGAGCCTCGTCCCAGATCACCATGACAATTCAATAACATATGGTGGACATCAAACCGACCAAAAAAGGCGAAATCATATTAGAACCAACCAACCAAGGACGATCTACGGAAGGAAATTGCCGGTGAAGCACGGAATGAAATACGAAGCGTTAGATTTACAAATTAAATATCAACATTAAACTAAATACATGCCAGGGTTGAAAAGAATATTTTCGAACCTGGAAGCGAGTATGTATCACCAATATCCATTTGATAACGGTGAAGCATACATGCGGGGCTTATTGTGAGTGAAAGTAACCTCGGAATGGGCGTGACTCTCCAGACATTCTGAAATGGGTTGCTGGATCTGCAATAGAGCTATCACCTTCTAACTCCCGGACTAAAGCTGTCTACAATGACCATAAATGCGACGTTGTAGAGAGAGTTCTTCCATAATAACACTGCCGGCCAGTGGAGGTTAGAGGGAATAGACACACACAAACACACACACACTCCGCGTCCCAAGCCTCCCATTCTTTGCTCACAACCCAGCGCTTGATATCGTGTAAAGGTACCTCGTTGGTATAGCGAGGTGCTGATGGTCCTGCCCCAGGCAGAAAGTTAGCTTCCGTGGGGCTTCGGATTTCAGGGCTTGTTTGACGCTGTGCGTATCCGTGAGGACCAGGATCGGTCGGTCCGAGGGCGTTGTAGCAGCGATAAAGATGGCAGTAGCTTCAGCAGAGATGACAGATCATTGCGGCGGTAAGCTGCAGCTGGTTGGTGTAAAGTTTCCGGCAAGACCGATACCGACTCCGGCCCGTTGCAAATGAAGTTTAATACCCCGTACAGACTATGGATTATATCATGTAATATAGACTGTCTTGCAATGAGCACTCATACATAGGATTTCCAGTGAAAACTAGATGTATGAGTATCATAACTAACTAAAATTAACTAAATTAAAACTGCGACAAAAAAAAACCAAAATGCATATGGCGCACGCGTGATTTTTCATCCAAATCCAAGTGCAATCGCAACACTTGCTTTTGGATACATTCATAGTGCGGAAAATAAACAACTCAAAATCGAGATGAAAAGTCCGCAAAAATAAGAACTCTCTCAAGACTACTGTTTGAATACAATTAACGAAGACTGAGAGTTATTGTTGTACTTCAAGATTAAGTTTAAAGTACTCATCAATGAAAACAAAATTGTATCCAAAACAGTAGTGCTAGAGAAATACTTATATTTAAGTAATTTTCATCTCGATTTTGAGTTAAAGAAGATATTAATATCATAAACTATAGGGGAAAGGGATGTAATGTCGGCCTAAATGCCCCTAATTTGGCCCCTAATAAAATTCAGCAATCGACGAAATTTTCAATAGCGACCAAAAATATCCATTAGTACCGTCCATCTAGATAAAATGGACAAATAGCAAATTTTTAATGATGGGCCCAATCTTAGATCCATAGGCAACATTAGACCCATTTCCCCTAATAATTATAATCTACAGGTCGATAAAAAAAAAAACTTGTCCACTATGCCCTGAAGACAAAAACCCTAGAGGCATCATGGTTTTGGGTAACTTTTACACCATTGCTTCAACTGGAACTAACTAACCTTATCGAATGATATTCATTGACAAGCAAACATTTGTGCTTACATTTCACTTATAGAGTCACCGAAAAAAGATTTATTTTTGTCAAGCAACGCCCTAGTCCATTTTTTAAATCTTAAACACTGCTTCTCGCAATTACATGTTTCTTATTCAGATATATATATTTCAATAGCAACAACACCATCATCATCAGCATTATCAACATGATCGATAAGAACCTAACCATCTTTTGAAATTGGGGGGAAAATTTAGGAAAAAATAACATTCGTTTCCGTTTTTCAATGAACCATCCATGAGAGCTTGAAGTTGTAAACAAACAATCTCAAAAATCATAACTACAAGGTTGCCAAACTCATGGGGTATTAAAACAGACAGTTTGATTGCCACAATGCGGCACGTTATGCGCAACACTGTGCACAGCTGTCGGCACAGATAAAGTACTAGGCACAGATTGAAATGTGCAGATTTGAGTACTCCTTGTGATTTTTATTGATTAATTCATTATTTGTTTCTAACATCAAACCAAAAGATTCATCTGACTCACTAACTATTTATTTTTGTATAGGTATTTGCATCGAATGATTGATTGAAACCCCTGGCCGAGGTTATCGACCCAGTAGCAAACCACGCGTTTTGTGGTTGAGGAGGGCATTAGGCCCCCTCTGGTCCATGGCGTCTATTCTAAACGGAGAACCGAAAATAACTCAACTTCAAAATGACAGCAATGGTTGAGTTTTTTTTCCTTGATTTGTTGTCCGTCGATCTTGTTTTCCGTGCTGAGCACCAATGCTACCGACGCCAGGGAGTCAGCTCCCACACCTGGCCCCTACCTATCGACTCATCAACTCATGAACCGGGGACCAACGGCTTTACTTCCCTTCCGAAGGAAGGCGTGATCAGAGACGTTATGCCTCTGAACATCCTGGCGGCGCCGACTGGGATTGAACTCAGACCTGCTGGGGTGAGAGGCAATCACGCTTACCACTACACCACCGGTGCCACTAAAGGTTGAGTTGACAGTATGAACACAGACAAACAGACATAACTCTTAGAAGAAAATTCTTCAAAAAATATCGTCAAGCGTATTTTGCATGCGCACTAGCACCATCTATCATCCACATTCCCAAGCATTGTTTTGCAACCGGAGCATCCCTCGTTCATGCAATTTTTTCACTAGTTGCTTTTCCCTCGTTCTGTCCGTTGACTGTGTTGAATAAAAACAAAACAGATGAAAGTCAGTGATGTCGGTTCCATGGTGAGTATATAAATGGTGATACAGCTTTGTCACTATATAGGTGAGGTGGTCGTGGGGGGGGGGGCAGTGCGGTTTTAGAGCAAATTGTAAACAAACTCGGTCGCTGTCCCATACAAAAATCCAACATGGCTGAATCATGAATTTGACACATTAGAACACCTATATGTAGTCACCTTGGTCGGTTCTACGAAATTTTCCGTAGATCTATAGAATTGATTGAGTTCTGCAGAAATACGGATCCGTTGGAAAAATTCACTGAAGCTAAGACTTTTTCTGTTTTTTTGTTTATTGTGCTTTTTCTTTTGCTGGAAACAAGTTTTTAAACAAGGTAATGTATCACTTATTAGTGCCCTTTCTAAATGTAGCTGTATCAATGTAATATGTTTCAATCAGTGATATTCATGGTGAAGTATTGAACATCAATAACTGGTAAAAGTTGATAGAATATTACAGTTATCAACATGATTTGTTCTCGAATTCTGTGTACATCGAGCAATGTAATATTAGGAACGGAATGACTAATGGGCAGCAGTTTTGATGTAATATTCAACAACTTTTTTTTGTATTCGTCAGATGTGGTAAGTGTCTCCAGTGGGATGCCTTGACCACTTATCATTTTCAAGAGCTGACATCTACTAACTAGACGTGAAAAAGAACTGGCATCACTGATAAGTTCTAAATGTGGTGGCTTGCTCAATGCATCAGTGGCGCCACCATGACAAATGCAAGCACATTCCCAACTAAAACATTATTTGCGATGAATGTGATTGTGAGTGTTATGTCTGTTTGTTTGTGGTATGAAGTTTACAAATCTGTTCAGCAATTTTTTCAAAAAATTGGTACTTTACTGCTGCTTGTATTTGTAAAAGATTTTTTTTTACAGTGAATTTGTCATAATTTTTACAGTATTGCGAAATTTCAATCGAATTCTATAAATTACGGAAATTCAGCAGTTTTGATTGCGTAAAATTGGTGAGACAATATATTTTACAAAGCTTTCGGAAAAAAATATATTTTACAGATTGAATTCTGCAAAAAAAGGTACCGAAGAAATTTTGTGTGTAGATGCAATATTAAGGTAGGCCAAGTTCATATTACGACGCAGAATATGGATATAGTAGGGACAATTTCTTAATGTAGGGCTATGGATCTAATATTGGGCCCATCGCTAAAAATTTACATTTATCAATTTTATCTAGATGAACGCGTCACTGGGACGGTACTAATGGATATTTTTGGTCGCTATTGAAAATTTAGTCTTTTGCTGAATTTATGTATGGGCCCCAATAAGGAGCATTTGGGCCGACATTACATCCATTTCCCCTAGCAACCAAAAATATCGACTTGAATTTTCCAGATGGCAAATTGTTCTACGGAAAATTATACTAATTCATTTTTATCGTTGGGCCCAATCTTTACATCAAGAGGTTAGAGCAATTTCCTCTAGTCTATGTCAATGCTGTTTGTCTCATCCTATTGCATCATAATATTATAGTGATCAGAGTGCAATGAACGCCGACCCAGCCTTGATTCATTGAAGTGTATTTTTCTAGCTTGGTCTAGACCTTCCCTGAACGTAACCAGTTTGGTTTTCACACATTTACGCATAGTATCTTGGATGTGGTGACGGTCTTTCTTGATAGGGTGTATTCTATATTAGGGTAAACGCTCCTATAGTTGCGGTAAGCTAGTAGCGTTAGGTTACTATAGTTGCTTATGGAGTCTCCACTAAGTTTATCAAAATATAGATAGGCTCAATCGAAAACAAGACTCTCCGCTTTGCACTGATAATGCAATGCCCTGTATGAAATCGATCAGCCCTTGGAAACAATTCAACGCGTAGGGAGAGAGAAATTGTAATAAACAACATGTTAGCAGTAAACAGGAACAGTGAGTTAGAATGATGCGCACATACGATGGAGGCAGATACGCAAAAGCAGCGTGTATTGGTTAGAAGTTTAAGTTTAAGCGACTATTGACGAACGTTGCATGCTGCTGCAACAGGAGTGATAGTTATTCCTATACTAGTGCATCAGTGCAATCCTATCGCTGGAGCTTCCCGCGTCTCTATGCAGCCAGCAAGTGCAGTTTTGCATTTTCAAGTGTGACCGGTTTCTAGCCGTTCTGTGTGCTCCAAGGAATAGTTGAAGAGGCTTCTTCAGTGCCTAGAAAGTCGTTAGTATCAAATTGTAAGCGCAACTGTGCAGTTGTTCGGAGAACTTGGCGTCAATTGATCTCAATTGAAGTGACTTTGTGTTCGGTTGTAATAAAGCCTGGTGGTTTGTTGCCTGACTTGTAACTAGAAAACAATGCCTGTGGGAATCAAAAACGTACTCGTGTGCGATGCAGTCGATAATGCGTGCGTCAAATTGTTGCAAGATCATGGAATAAATGTTAGTTGTGCAGCACGTCCCACATTGGGTATCCACAATAAAACGATGATTTTGTGTGTTTCAGGTGGATTACAAACTAAAATTGTCGAAAGATCAGCTTGTTGCTGAAGTGAAGGTAATTTAAAGGAATTTATTATTTAAAGAAAAAGTTTTGAGAAGTAAAAGAGGGCCCTGCAATAATTCAGTTGTTTGTTTTTACGATTTGTAAACCCCTTCCCCTTAAGTGCTTATGTAATTAGTGCATGGTCCAAAGCCAAATGATCATATTCTCCCATTTATCGGGATGTACTCCTCAATTAAAAGCATTGATCGTTACCAGCTATGAAATCATCCTCAGAACTTTGTTCTGAATCCTTTGAAGTGATTTTTTCCTGGTACTGCAACAACTAGACCATATTGGCACAGCGTAAAGCATGGCCGGTCTAAAAACTTGTTTAAATATTAGAAGTTTATTCGTCAGGCAAAGTTTGGATTTTCTGTTTATAAGAGGATACAAACATTTAATATATTTGTTACATTTAGCTTGAATGCCCTTAATGTGATCTTTAAAAGTTATTTTTTGGTCAAGTATTAATCCAAGATATTTCACTTGGTTTGACCAGGAAATTGGAACTCCGTTCATAGTGACTATGTGACTACTACTAGGTTTCAAAAAGGAAGCTCTAGGCTTTTGTGGAAATATTATAAGTTGAGTTTTGGAAGCGTTGGGAGAAATCTTCCATTTTTGTAAATAAGAAGAGAAAATATCTAAACTTTTCTGCAGTCTGCTGCAAATAACACGAAGACTTCTTCCTTTAGCGGAAATGCGTGTGTTATCAGCGAACAAAGATTTGTGGCAACCCTGAAGCAAATCAGGGAGGTACGAAGTGAAAATGTTATACAATATAGGCCCAAGAATCCCAACTAACAATCGCCTATTGAAGAAACGACTTCTTGACGTTTTATTCAACTGCATGCTTATTAATAATGCAAGTATTTTATTTTTAGTAATAACTTCTGTTCAGGCTTTGTTCACTCAAATCTGGAGAATTAATTCAACCACAACATCGAAATATTTGGTGTTGAATAAGGTATGTCGAGAAGCTTTTATTCGACTTACAAAAGTTGTAACAGAGCTTATTCGATAAAATTTTTGATTATTCAGCGTTTATTAGACATCACTGCTTCCCCTTATTAATTAAAACAGTGATGCTCTGTAAACGCTTGTTTAATTAAACATTATTATACATTTATTAAACGATTATTCAACTGTGGAAAATTAACCCGAAAATAAAGAGGGACGGGGATGGGTGTAAGTTATTCTTAAGTAGTGTTTTGTGTTCATTATTTCTAACGTGGCACGTACCACAAAGTATTAGTTGCATGGGATTCGAACCATGGACTATCCGACCATCCGCCGCTTGCCTTGTCATCTGAGCTATCCTAGAATTCATCATATGGGCAACTCAATAATCAATAAAAGCTTGCTTGAAAGTGAATACCTATAGATATAGATATATCAGTACTCCCGATCGCAACTCTAGCTCCTTAAAGGCCTTGTGGGAATGATTGTTACCTCTTCACCTCTCCAATTCCAAGGAAAGGATGCTCGGTTATTTTTTAAACTAGATCAATGCATGTGAGTCATGTAATCGATGATTACCATTTAAATTAATTAGGCGTAGAACACAAATATAAAAAGGGTTGAGCTTGGGAATTGAACTCACGACCTTCTACTTGGAAAGCAGAAACAGTAACCACTACTCTACTGATTTCTTCTTGTTGTTAGACTGAACCAGTGTTGTGGAATAATGCATCGAAAACTTTTATTAAGCATTTACAAGGCATGTGATTAAAACATGGACGCATAGTGGTATAAGAGCTATTATGCTGATTGTATTCACCTTTATTCAGCAATATTGTAAAGCAATGCAATGAAATCTAATAATGGAGCTACAGAACATGTATTAGACGTCTAATAAAGTATGTTATTAAATCAATTGAAAACAGTCGAATTAAAGTGTCAATGTACGTACAAATTACACTTATTCAGTTTGTTATTAGATCAAACTTCAAATGTTGAATTGGGAAGATAGTCAGCGTTTATACAGCTTTTAATAAGAAAATTAATCAGATCTTAGCAAACAGTGGAATAACTGTGCATCTATCGATCTCAATGAGGTTTTTTAAGCACATAATTCGACTACTCTTTTTATTCAGCATTGTACACTGTAATAGCATTTATTCAATATATATGCTTATTCGTGACTCTGAATTGTTTGTTGGGATGCTACCCTGAGGAATTCCTGCTCTAACAGGTAGTCGATTAGATTTAGAATTTATTTTACCTGCAGAGTTCTGTCAGTTAAATAATTTTGAACTAATTTCATAATACAAAGTGTAAAATTAAACTTTTTCAATTTAGCAATCAAACCTTCATGCCAAACACTGTCGAATGCTTTTTCTATGTCTAGAAGAGCAACTCCAGTTGAGTGGCCTTCAAATTTGTTTGAACGAATTAAATTAGTAACTCTTAAGAGTTGATGAGAAGTTGAATGCCCATGGCGAAACCCAAACTGCTCTTCTGGAAAAATTTAGTTCGTTTTGATGTGAAGCATCATTCTATTTAAAATTATCTTTTCAAAAAGTTTACTTTTTGAAGAAAGCAAACTTATTGGACGGTAGCTAGAAGCTTCAGCTGGATTTTTATCCGGCTTCAAAATTGGAACAACTTTTGCATTTTTCCATTTATCAGGAAAGTATGCCAAATGGAGACATCTGTTAAATAATTTTACCAAGAAAGACAAGAAACTCTCTGGGAGTTTATTGATGAGGATATAGAAAATTCCATCATCACCTGGAGCTTTCATATTTTGAAACTTTTTAGTTATAGACCTTACTTCGTCCAAATCAGTCCCCCAGGAATCATCAAAAATATTTTCCCGAGAGAAAATATTCAGAAAATCCCGAGCAACCTGATTCTCAATAGGACTTTCTTTAAGCGCTGGATTTGGCTTTTGAGGTTTTTTTCAAATTTTTTATGAGTTTCCAAAAGGGTTTGGAACTCGGGTCTAATTTAGAAACATTATTTTCAAAAGTTTTGTTCCTCAGGGCAGAGAATCGCTTTTTAATTTGTTTATGTAAATCCCAGATAACTTTCATGGCAGGATCGCGTGTTCTGTGATATTGTCTCCTACGGACATTTTTAAGACGGATCAAGAGCTGAAGATCGTCATCTATTATAATTGAATCGAATTAAACCTCGCATTTTGGTACTGAGGCAGCTCTTGCTTCAACTATAGAAGTAGTCAGAGATTCTTATGCTCTTATGCTCTTAATTTCATCTTTGGTTTGCATTCCACAAATGTTCGATATTGCTCCCAATCAGCTCGATAGTAGAGCTGTTGGGATTAGAAATTATTTCTTGGGATATTTCAAAAGTTACTGGAAGGTGATCAGAACCGAAGTCAGCATGGGTAACCAATTGGCTTCAAAGTTGACATGCATCAGTTAAGACCAAATCAATAGTTGAGGGATTTCTTGCTGAAGAAAAGCATGTTGGCCTGTTTGGATATTGAATAGAATATTACCATTGGAATTGCTTTGAGCATTATTCCATGAGCGGTGTTTTGCATTAAAATCACAAATTATGAAGAATTTAGACCTATGACGGGTAAGTTTCTGAAGGTCACCCTTGAAATAATTCTGTTGCTGACCTACACATTGGAATGGCAAATAGGCAGCTATAAAGGTAAGTTGTCCAAATTTTGTTTCGGCAGAAACTCCCAAAGTTTCAAAAACTTGGGTTTCAAATGAAGAAAGAATTTGATGTTTTATTCGTCTATGAACAAGGATGGCAATGCCACCACTGGTTCCATCAAGACGGTCATTTCGATAAATGAAATAATTTGTGTCCCTTTTAATCTTATGATCAAGTCCGGAGATGAACTAGCCAAACACAAAAAATCTCCCTAATAAAGATTTAAAAAAAATATATATGATCAAGTTTAAGAAACGTTTTAGTTATAACGGAAATATAAACGTTATGCGGCGCCGGTGGTGTAGTGGTAAACGTGATTACCTCTCACCCCAGCAGGCCTGAGTTCAATCCCAGTCGGCGCCGCCGGGATGTTCAGAGGCATAACATCTCTGATTTCTGTAAAAATTCCATTGTAGGTGCAATAGCAGCATAGGTAGCTCAATTTACTCGCTGGACATTGTTAGCAGCGAAGGGAGCAGGTATAGATAAAGGAAGCAGGGGTAATATTTGTACCTACGGGTACGAATGTAGAATTTGTTCCTCGCTGACCGTTGTTAAAAGCAGAGGAATTTGTACCTGCTCGGGAACGTGGAGCGTTTCCTACCTGTCACTTAGACCGAGATTGTAGGATCGCTTTGCGAGTCTTACATTCCCAAAAATTGTATTTGTGGTTTTCACAACAATTTAAACATTTGAACACTTCACTCGGACATGGAGCAAAAGACAGCTTTTTCTAAAAAAAAAGGCAGCTTTTTCTAAAAGAGACGAACCAGCTAAAGGCTGAAAGCAATTCTAAGGCTGCTTAGTTTACTAGACTTGAAATGAACTAAATAAAAATCATCGGAACTTCCGTTGCGTGAATCGCCAGGACGGGATTTCATTTTCATTTTGATTACTTGGACAGGCTCAACTCCAAGTAATTTAGTCAATTCATTTTTGATCTGATCCAGGGATTCACCACTGGGCAGACCTTGCAAGATAACCTTAAACAAACGTTCAGTTTTGATGTAGTAAGTAAAAAATGGTGTTGCTTCTCAGTAAGGTACCTGAGAAGACGTTTGAATCCATCCAAGGCTTCAGACAATACACGGCATAAGTGAAAACTTAAATTGAACGAAGTTCAAAGGTTCTTTGCGAAGAGCATGGAAATCGGAACTGTTTACAACTTTTTCCTGTTTGGCATTAAGCCGGGAATGTTTAATTGAATTTTGCCTGGATGATGGAACATTCTCATCATCCGTAAGCATATCAAATTGATTGCTGAATTGAATTTCAACATAAGGGGGATCAAGCGATTGCCCTTTTCTTGTGCGCTTAGGCGCCATGGTGACAGAACTAAATTTCTCCAAATCGACTTCCATGCAGATTACTATAAGAATCCGATGGATCGAAGAGGAATTTTCCAAATCGATGTCCAAGCAGGATTACCTCGGGTAGGGTTTAAACAAGGATCTTAGATGAATAATAGTCGAACAAGGTAGATCATTTGCAGGTAATAGTGAGCGCTGAGAAGTGCACAGTTTGAAAAAGTAGTGTAAATTTCTGTTTAGTATGATGCACATAAATGGAGCGTCACATAGCATATACGTTTACATTATATATCATGTAAAATTCTGAGACATTTCATGCAATGTAGCAAATATTGTATACAAAATTCCATTGTTGTAAACAACATTGTTTACAAGTTGCTCGTTTGCGTGAAATGAAATGCAAGTTTACGTGAATGAATGTTTACATCACTATTAAAATTCATAATTTTTATCTGTGTGCTGTTTAAATTTATTGTAGCTTTAGGTAGCAGTAACACTTCCTTCAGGAAAAAATCAAATAGATTCACACGGCAAGAGAGAGCTATGCGGACTGATTCTGCACCTATTAATGCCCTGCTCGCAAAGGCGATCGGTCTATCGACAGTTTTTTCATTTGATAACACCGCTGCTATCGCGTAATTGTTAGCATTTGTGGTGATGACAAATGTATCCTCAAAATTTGGCTATACAAACAAGGATTCAGATGTAGGGCATGTTTTACGCATTTCAAGAGCTGCATCACAATTACTTGTCCATACAAATTTTACATTCTTCTTCAAAGTTCAAAGGTTTCCTGTATTTTGCAATGTTTGGGATGAATTTTACATAAAAATTAATTGTATTTATAAATGATCTAGCATATGTCACTGTAGATGGACATTTCACCTTTTGAATAAATATACTTTCTTCATTTTCTTTGGTTGGTATTATTACCATATTGATTTATTATATGACCAAGATATTTGATTTCTGTTTTCAAAATTTAACATTTTTTCGGTGCCAATTTTAAATTTGTTTGCGTAGTCTCTGCAACACTTAATATAAGTTTTCATTCCGTTCTTCGATTGTTCTTCTTGAAAGGATGCCATCATCCACATCCGGCTCGAAAATTTCCAATTGCATATAATACCGTATTCATTAATTTTTGAAAAGTTGATGGGCTATTCCTTAATCCCATAGGCATTCGTGTAAATACAAAGTGACACGAATTAAAAGGAAATTAAAAGAACCTTTGAGAAATTCACTGATGTTCAGAACTTTTTAAAGTAATTTCGTAAACTTCAGGGGTGCTATTGGGATGATTCATGAGCTTTCGGGAATATTCGTCATTCAGAGAAGTTAGAAGTTTAAAGCTCACTGCGGAAAAGTTCAGAGTTCCAGTTGCATAATCATCCGGAAAAATGTGGGTAATTTAGGTTTTTGGATTTTATCATGCTCTTGTAGAACATCCCAAGTAACAATTTTGGTTTTGTAGCGGCGCCGGTGGCGTCAATAACATATCTTTCATTATTAAGAAATTGAAAGTTTTAATATATGCTGACGACATTAAACTTTTTTTGGAAAAGATGCCAAAGACATCATCACATTTAAAGAGGAAATTCAAATATTCCATACTTTGTGTCAAAAAAACCTGCTACAATTAAATATAAAAAAATGTAACTCCATTACCATTAGTAGAAAACAAATCCTACCCGATATAACAATCACTTTAGGAAACCAGATCGTAGAAAAGTGTGATAGAGTCAGGGATCTAGGTGTTATTTTGGACTCAAAACTTACTTTCACCGATCATTATAACACAATTATTAACAGAGCTAACAACATGCTTGGTTTCATAAAACGTTTCTGCTATAACTTTCATGATCCTTATACGATAAAAACATTGTACATTGCTTATGTAAGGTCGATATTAGAATATTGCAGCATAGTTTGGTCTCCTTTTTCAATCACACACGAAGAAAGAATAGAGTCCGTTCAAAAGCAGTTTCTTTTGTATGCATTCCGCAAGTTAGGTTGGACTGTATTTCCTCTGCCATCTTACACAGCTCGGTGTATGCTCATAAATATCCAAACATTAAAAGAGCGGCGTGAATTTGCTATGATTTCTTTCGTAAACGATATCGTATCACATCGAATTGATTCAATAGAACTATTGTCATCCTTAAATTTATATACACCATCTAGGCATTTACGGAATAGAAATATATTTGCTACAAATCGTCATCGTACGAATTATGCCAAATTTGGACCCTTGAACCAAATGATGGATACATATAATAAGCACTGCGATAACATTGACTTTACAATGACAAAAACCAAATTAAAGCAATATTTTAATTCCTCGCATAACGTCAACTAGAAGTAATGTTTTAACTTGTTCTTAAGACATATTATAAAAAATATAAACAAAGACAAAATTGTAAAAATAGCACTTAAGACAACAATTGTAAAACGGTCTACACTGATTGACGACAAATAAATAAATAAACATACATTTTTACCAAAATCCCCATACAAACTTTAAACCGAAAGGGCACGAGCTGGCCGAATGAGCAAAAATTTACAGAGAGTGATGGCAAAAAATTTCTGCCAAATAAATGTAGGTCAACCTAATGAGTATCAGCTTCACAGTATTGCCTCGGATACACTTGGATGACAAATTATGAGCATTATTTGTATAATAATGATGAGCACTATACAACAACTATACAAAAACTATACAAGTGTGACAATAGATGTGCTCATAATTTATTATACAAATAATGCTCATGTTCATAGTTTGTCATGCAAGTGTATCCACGGCATATCTTTTCCCTAAAAACTAAAAAAACATCAGACTATGCTGTGTTCAGTCTAGGGAGTTATAACATGTTACAAGGCTATCTTGATGACATTTCTTTGTAACATGATACATTGTCGTAAACAAGGCGTTACTGAGAAGTCATTTAGCGGCACACATATATTTTAATAAATGAACCCTCTGGCATGAACCAATTTGTCGTCAATCTAATTTGCCACATTTCCTGAGAACGGCTTTGCTCACCATATTGCGTTTCTAAAAATTGTATCTTCAGCGTTTTATGGAAGGTTTGTGTTTGTTTATTTTATTTATTTATTTATGTTATGGTCAACAGGTAAAATATGCACCCCAATGACAGTATACTTATTATAGACAAATTAACATAAAATACCCTTGAAATTGCATTTATTTCTAAAACGGGAAACATTGAAGTCAAATACGTTGTAGCATCTGTTCTCCGCTAAGTATCATTCTTAACGCTTTAATACAATGTTGCAGCATGCCCACCATATAATCGCCCTTAATATCAATGTCGGGTGCTATTTGTGGTAGATTGATTACTATTTGTTTTGCTCAGGGCTATGATGCGCTCATCGTACGTTCCGATACAAAAATTACCGCCGAAATACTGGACGCCGGTTGTGGAAAGCTCAAAGCTGTCGGACGGGCAGGAGCTGGCGTTGACAATATCGACATCGTCGCTGCCACCAGAAATAATGTCATCGTCCTGAAGTGAGTATTCGACCGGAAGGTTGGCTAGTCTTTTAAATCTATCGAATGCACAGCTCATTCATTACCTTCTTGTTGATAGTGCTCCCGGTGGAAACTCCATCTCAGCATGTGAGCTCACATGTTTCTTGATTGGAGCTTTGGCGCGACCGTTTTGCCCAGCAGCCAGCAGCATGAAGGAGGGGCGCTGGGACCGTAAGCTGTACTCGGGTAGTGAGCTTTATGGCAAGACACTAGCAGTCCTCGGCTTGGGACGGATCGGTCGGGAGGTTGGCATTCGCATGAATGCGTTCGGCATGCGTGTTATCGGTTTTGATCCGATTACAACGCCGGAGGAAGCCAAAGCGGCAGGTATCGAGAAGATGGAGCTGGATTATATTTGGCCTCTGGCTGATTACATTACCGTTCATACTCCATTGATTCCGGCAACTAGGAGTGTGTATTTCTTTCTCTTAGCGATAAGCTCGATGCCTTAGCCATGTTGTACTTATAACAAACAATACCGTTAATTTCAGATCTCATATCGGCTGTCACGTTGGCAAAGTGTAAAAAAGGAGTTCGTGTAGTAAATGTAGCCCGTGGTGGCATCGTCGATGAGGCCGCTCTTTTTGACGCTCTCGAAAGTGGCCATTGCGGTGGGGCAGCTATCGATGTCTATCCTGAGGAACCACCGAAATCGGAAACCAGCAAAAAACTCATCAATCATTCGAAGGTTGTTGCAACGCCCCATCTAGGTACGCAAGAATTGATATTTTGTTGCTGACAGCGACTTTTGGTGCTGGGTTTTCTTTTGTTCTAAATGTTTTCTTTTTTTTTGGTTCCCAATCAACAGGAGCAAGTACGTCAGAGGCTCAGGTGCGAGTTGCCGTGGAAGTGGCAGAGCAGTTTATCGCATTGACAGGAAAATCGACTGAATACACCCAGTATGGGGGTGTTGTTAATCGGGAGGTTTTGAAGAATGTGCTTTGAATTGAATTAGGATCGGATATTCTTAGCTTCGTTAATTATTCATCAGCTGATGCTTACTTTTCAGTTTCGAGATTATTCAATTATAGTAGCCGATATGTCTAGGCTAGTATTATGGAATGAGGATAATTCATTCAAGTTTTAAACATTGTTTCATTAATTAAATAAATGTATGTTCAACAGGACAGAAAGAATGATTATCCCTTTGTGAACTTTCTCAGCCTAATGAATGTAGGGATAAAATACACGCCGACATGATAATATGACCATCCATCTGTTTTAAAGTACTTTTAAAGCTGTACTTTAAATGAAAATTACACCAAATGGGGCTGTCCATAAACTACGTAGACAGGTTAGGGGGGGGGGGGTTGAGAATTATCCAAGGCCCATACAAATTTAAAAAAATGTATAGACAATTGTCAACGCAGGGGGAGGGGGGGCAAGAATCCAAAAAAAAAACTGTCTACGTAGTTAATGAACAGCTCCACATGATAATTCGGCAGTCCATCTAGTAGTTCTGGATTAACAACCATTAATTTTTGTTTAATAAGTCCCTGAAAACTCGCTGTCGGTCATATTACCCTGCTGGCGCGTTTTACACAATTTTCCCCTATGCATGTATCGATGTATTAGGTAGACAACATTCTAAGTCACTTGCATGAGGTTCCAGTTACCTAATCGAAAGATAACCTTTTGTCATCCTTCAGAATTCAACATATTTCAAATACTTTTTCAAAAGGCCCTATGTCACAAATGTAAACAAACCGATATAGATTACTCTTATATCACGCTACATAAACGCCTATTTAAATTTTCTTTCAATTATTTAAGATTAGAGGTAGGAAAAACATTCTCAAATCTTTTCATTTCTTTCTCATTTTGTGTAATTTTGCCGCTGAGTATAGTTTAGCCGTGTTTGTTATGTTTTATTTTTGTTGTCATTTCACGGCCGGCAACATACTGACCACCAGGGTTACTTCCACTCACTTGCTATAAAAAAATGTTTTTCGGAATTATGAAATCATGAAATAGTATAATGCTTATTAGTACTTGTAAGTTACAAGAAGAGGTCATGAAGTATATGTTTGACATAGAAAATCTGTCAATATTGCTTTCAGTGCGTCATAATTAGCGATTTTATGACTCGTGAGCGCTCACTCTGAGCGAACGCTCACGAATCATAAGATCGCTGATTGTGACGCTCTGAAAGCGAAATTGACAGGTTTTATAAATCAAACACATACTTTACACTCTCTTCTTGTTATTTACAAGTACAAAATATCATTATAACATCTAATGATGCATAATCCCAAAAAAAATGTTTTATAGCAAGTGAGTGGAAGCAACCCTGCTGACCACTATGCCTTCGTGAATAATTTTAATTTGTAAAAATTGAACGTTATTTTATTCGGTTTTGTTGTTGTTAGTTTAGTTAGATAGGAAAAAATATCGTATTAAAAAGTATCGCGTCCCAAATAAAATTAGGCCCCAAAAGCTCCTCCCGCTGCAAAGAAGGCGAAAAACATACAAGCATAACAGTCGAGCGTGGTTGCAGGAGCGATGGCGGTTTTTTATTTTTGACGTAGACTATGTCTTACGGAAAGGTACTGGGAGTAAATCGAAAATCTAAAATTGCGACCGTCACGAAAAGGTGTAATTTTTTGAACGCTATAAGCTTTGTCATTTATAGATGAAATTAAAATCCGAACACACCAATCAATAAAAAATACCTTTCGTAAGCTGTTGCAATAAACTTTTTTTTTTCAATTTTTCATAAAAACTGTTTTAAAAATGGACAAATAAAAAGTGATAATTTTATCACTGTTTTCATGAAATAAACGTTCTCCCCAAACCAAGTCCTCATAATCAAGTACAATTTGGTTGCACATCGTGCTGCTTGAATCAGAAAAGTTATAAAACAGCGCTGCTAATGTGCCTCAACTCATTTGCGCTTCGAACGGTGGGTAAGCAGGTAGTAGCAGCAGCAGCAGTAGCAGCAGTAGCAGTAGCAGCAGTAGGAAGGCGGTTCCTGTCAAGCGCGCAGAGTTCGAGTTCGATGGCGCAAGCGCTCATTGCCTGAATGATAACTACAAATTTCGATTACTTTTCGGAAGGACATATCAGCTTTTTTAAACAATGCATTTTATCGTCGGTTTGGCATAACTAATTGCTCGCCCCACATACTAACACCGCTAACAGGTTGGGAAAATTTTCCCCTAGCTGATGGTAGTTCTAGCATGCGTGGGCGAGCTACACGCCAAATCGACGATCAAATGCGTTGTTTACAAAAGCTAATACGTTCCTTCGAAAAAGTAATCAAGAAATACTTCTTGGGCTGTGTACCAATGGCCGAGTTAAATTTAACTCGTGGTTAAACGTGACATTTCGTAAGTTATTTTCAATGTTCGAAAATGCCGGAAATTGATCAGTTTTCAAACAGAACTCAGCCACGGTTACCAAAATTTAACTTCTAGTCGGTCCGAAATAACCACGCTCGTATAGCAGGGTTATTCGATAACTCATCTGTCACTTTTAACCCCGAGTTAAATTCAACTCACCCATTGCGACACAGCCTTGGAAGTAAAATTAGGGCCATCCATAAATTACGTATATTTTTGACCAATTAACCCCCCTTCTCCCTCGGAGCGTGTTTTGCAATACACCTAATACATGGCCGGTCCCAACTTCTGAAACCCCTCTCCTCTCTCAACTACTACGTTATTTATGAAAGTTCCCTAATCATTGGGCCACACTGAAAGACAGCAGCACACACCACACAAAATGGGTTGGACATTTATGCGAAATTTCGGTATGGATCGTCAATATTTCGCGATCAGAACATTTTAGCTTGAAATCCCTCCATTTAATTTTTGGTACATCTTTAATCTATTGATTGAATTAAAAAAAAATCTTAATATGGTTTTTTGAAGATTTCGTACGTTTTGTGAACGCACATTCATTATTTTGCATAAGAAAACGGGAACGGGGTGTTTCTGCAGTGATAAAAAGGATTTTTCTTCACAGATTACAGTATTCTGTACGAAGCACTGAAATTATCAGACGGTACCTCTATTTATGATTTTAGATTAGCTTTGAAAGTCTCTCCTACTTGGAATATTATGCTATAGCACGGTTTATACAACCCCAATACGGTTTTTTGCTGATGGGGGCGAGGCACAGCAAGCCGTTCGATTGCATAATTCTTCAAGTAGGAGGGACTTGCAATGTTTATCTCTTAGCATAAATAGAGGTACCATCGAGTTTTTTTTTCAGTTAGCGTTTAAAAGGGCCTACTTGTAATGTTCGATTTTCTGTTTACATTGCTACAGCTAAGCGAAACAATTCAAGCTGAACATTGCATTAGGTCCTAAGTAACACTGACAAGATTCTCTTCGTCGACTTTCTCCTTGAATCCACTCGGCCCAGGTATTTTCAGCACACATATCGATAAATGAAGTTTTTATCTAGCATCTAAGACGACAAACAAAATAAGAAACGATCCTGTGCTCAAGTTATTAAGACTGTGTTCCATTTGGTGAATTTTTACTTAAATTTGACAAATGGAAAATTTTCAAATAAACCTGCTATTCCAGCAGACTTATTTCTGACAGAAAAGGAATCAATTTGACAGGCGCTTTCTCGAAAATCGGCCGATCACAACAGAGGGATTTTCGAACACCTTAATTTATTTTCGAAGTGTCAAATCTAAGTGAAAATTTTCCAAATGGAACACAGCCTTAGTATTTTTTTATTTGTTCAATCGGTAGATAAAAGATGTATCGAGAACTTATTGGAGGGATTCATGGCTAATTTATATCATCTCGATCATTGATGCAAAATTGTGCACTCCGTTTTTGTGTGTGCATTTATTTTTAGCGTTTTGAAGTTGAATCGCTGAGGATCAATCTCATTACCATAGAAAAATTTCAAGAGTACAGATATCAGCTCTTACAAAACTTTTAACAAAGAAACTGGAACTTCACGTTTGTTGCAGTCCAGTACACAAGGAGTTTCAATTTCATGAGTGATGTCACAACCGTCCAAGATTTATGTCCTAGAAATCTTGTAGTGATAGGGAATATCAGCCTTCATGGCGGTCATTGTTGGACGCTTCAATGAATCACCTAAAGACAGCCTTACTCATATCTGATTGTAATTTAGGAACGAAATGAAATAAAATATGTATTCGCATTTTTATAAGGTCCTGAATTTAACCAAGTTTTACTAAGTAGGAAATCCAAAATATGTACATAGGACCGAAATCATAGGTTACTTCTACTGTATTTTAAATCAATATCTAGAAAAAATGCACGAGAATTTCACTACACAGCTTAACGTAGTCTACGTCCCTGCGGCCGTGTCTTGTACACAACCCCACCAATTTTTTTTTTGTAATTGTAACGTTGTGAAGAGGAGAAGTATCCGAGCCACGATGGAGTGAACGCGTGTTTTGGATTCGGAGACAAATTACCCCGTTTCAGGCCGAAATCGTTCTCCTCAAGCTGGGAAATCGATTGTCAGTCGTGTCGTGAGTGCCAGTACGACAACTTTTGTGTACCGCGAGTGAAAGCCGGCTCCGTGGCTGCGGAAAAAGGAATACTGTTCTGGTAGTCCAGTGAAAAGGGTGTCGGATCGCCTTTGTGGGAGAGCCGAGCTATTCGTTTCCTGGCTAACCATTATGGATCCATCTGACACCTGCCCTCCTGACTACGGTGGCTCCGCCAATAGAGCCAGTCTCGCCACCGCAGTTAATCGTCAAGCAGGACGAAGCAGGCGATACCAGAGGTGAGTTCGCCTGGGCAGAAACACTGCGGTGTCTGTCGGGGGTGGGGTTCCAACAGACGAGCCCCGCTCATCCCCCCGCTAAGTGTCAAGAACAGCTGCTAAGCAGCCAAAGAAGCAAACCGCTCAGCACAGTCCGTGCTTTGTAGCAGCAGAACCGCCGCCAGACCGTCGTCGAAGGGCCCCACTGAACAGCAGCAGCAACAGCGAGGAGGAGGACACAGATAAGTGGATAACAGACGTATAAAATTGATTCCTTCTTGTTGTTTTGTTGTTTCACCCAACTACGAACGACTTTGGGGGAAGTACCCTTGCTCGAGACCACCCCGCCGCGGTAAAATCGGGCCAGCTATAGGCTGGCAGGTAAGCCTTTATTTAACGTCGGTCTCTGTTCAGCA